ACCCCTGGTCTCAAGTGATCTGCACGCCTCGGGCTCCCAAAGTGCTGGGATTCCAGGCATGGGCCACCGTGCCCGGACTGATTTTTGTATGTGGATTTTGTATCCTGCAACTGTACTAAATTCATTTACCTGTCCTAAGAGTTTTTGGGTGGAGTCTTTAGGATTTTCTAAATATAAGATCATGTCATTTGCAAACAAGGATAATTTGATTTCTTCCTTTCTAGCTTGGATGCTGTTTCTTTCTTTATCTTACCTAATTGCTCTAGCTAGGATTCCAGTACTTTGTTGAATAAAAGTGGTGAAAGTGGGCATTATTGTCTTATTCCAGAACTTAGTGTAAGGCTTTCAATTTTTCCCCATTCAGTATGATACTAGCTCTGGGCCTGTCATAGATGGCCTTTATCATGTTGAGTTATGTTCCTTCTATACCCAGTTTCTTGAGAGTTTTGATCATGAAGGGATGTTGAATTTTATCAAGAGCTTTTTCTGGCATCTATTGAAATGATCATATGATTTTTGTCCTTTATTCTGTTGATGTGATATATCACATTTATTGATTTGCATATGTTGAACCATCTTTTCATCCCTAGGATGAATCCCACTTGATCACTGTGAATGATATTTTTAATGTGTTGTCAAATTCTATTTGCTAGCACTTTGTTGAGGATTTTTGCATTTATATTCATCAGGGATATTGGCCTGTAGTTTTCTTTTTTGTTGTTTCGCTTTGTCTAGTTTTGGTATCAGTGAACAATATGTTCTTTTGTTTTCCTGTCAAATTATGAGTTGTAGAATTGGCTCAATGTTACGTGAGTTTTAGGGCAATTATAGTGAAAGAAAAGTATTCAAGGGAGTTGAGGTTTATGGTCAAAGAGTAGCTCAGGGGATCAACCATGCAATTCATGCTGAGGGTCCTAAGAGGGACTTTTTCTACCAGGAGAAAATGAGGGGATTACAGCATTAAAGTTATAATGGCAATGAGGGTGGGAGAGAGTTGAAAGAAGAAAAGTTTTTGATCTGAGAATATGATATTAGAATTTAAAATTTCAGAGGCTGAAAACAGGATTTAATTTTGTAGCAAGTTATTAATTTTTTTTTTGATTTGCAGTGATTTAAAGAGGTGTTTGTTTTTCTAATATAGCAAAAAGTCTGAAGTCAAGCAATAGCTTCTTTTGGCCAATGGTTCAACAATACTTAGTCCAGCACCTCTCTGATTCTTGGTCTTTTCCTCTCAATAGCAAGGTGATGCAACTTCAGGTACTTCAGTCAAATCAGAAAAGTGGGGAAAGTGGGAGCAAGTGGTGGCACCAGCCTCAATTCTCCTTTTATCGGGGAAAACAAAAGACTTCCCAATAGCCACAAAAGACTCTACTTAGGGGGCCAGTGGACAGATATGATACATGGTCACCTCTAGCAACAAACAGGGCTGGGATTATAAATATTTAGCTTTCCAGAATCTGTAGTGGAGTGAGCAAAGGAGAGAATGAAATTGGAAGTAGCTGCTGGTTCACCAAAAAAGCAGTGTCTGCTCCAAAGACCAATGTTCGGCTTCCTTTTATGGAATAATGTTTATGTAGTACAGAAAGCCAAAATCATCCTGCCACAAACAGCTAACTAGGCGACTTAAAGATTCATGCTTTATGATGTTCCCCTCCCTGTGTCCATGTGTTCTCATTGTTCAACTCCCACTTCTGAGTGAGAACATGAGGTATTTGGTTTTATGTTACTGTGTTAGTTTGCTGAGGATGATGGTTTCCAGCTTCGTTGATGTCCCTGCAAAGGACATGAACTCATTCTTTTTTATGGCTGCATAGTATTCTGTGGCGTATATGTGCCATGCCTGTCGAGGGGAGGAGGGCAAGGGAAGGGAGAGCATCGGGAGAAATACCTAATGCATGTAGAGGCTTAAAATCTAGATGACGGGTTGATAGGTGCAGCAAACCACCATGGCACATGTATACCTATGTAACAAACCTGCACGTTCAGCACATGTATCCCAGAACTTAAAGTAAACTTAAAGTAAAATAAAAATAAAAGATGGCATGCTTTATGCAGTGGTCATAGGAGGAACAAAGATACTAAGAATGATCTGATGTCACCCATCCCTAGTATTAGAAAAACAGCTCAGAGTGCATATCTTCATAAAGCGATCAAGCACTAACATATTTAAAGTCCAATATGTGTGGTCTCTGCTGATATGAAGAGCAATACTGGAGATAAATATACAATGTAGCCTCTTAAAGGGTATGTACGAGGGTGTGTGTGTGTGTGTGTGTGTGTGTGTGTGTGTGTGTGTCTAGTAATCTCATACCTTAACTGTAACCTCCCAAGCAGATTGTGTTAGCATTGCTTTTTTATAGATTTTCATTTGACACTGAAGATCTAGTTAATGGCTTTTGTGTTGTCTTTGTTTGCCATGCTTAGTATTTCTTTGCTCAGTATATTCCTTCTTGTTAAGAAAACTGTGTAAATTTCAGTAAGCCCTGAGGAGCTCACAAGCCAGCTTTCTAGTAGAGCTCTGGGCATAATTTTTCATGTTACTTTAATAAAATGTTATATTTTTGCCATAGATTACAGTCAAGAGAAATGTACAGTGTGCTGTTACCTGAAACTACTTTTTACCTCACTCATTCTAAGTTTTACCTCAGCAGCTAATCTGCTATAGACTTACTCAACTTAGATATTTCTTAATTTGTAATTTGACAGTGGTTAATTGCCACATGATAAAATTACGTATTTATAAAATAGGAAAGGGGAATTTTTAAAGTTTCTTGGCGGGATTTGTCCAGAATGCCTTTGATGGAATTTGGTTGATGAGTATATCTTTGGACCTCAGACTAGGAGTGAGACTTCAAAGTCCAATTTCTGCCTCTTCTCATTGATACAAGATAACTCTCCATGCTATAGTCACTGTCACTCCATAGAGGAATTGAAGGGCTGAAAAGCCCTGAAATGTTTTTAAATATTACAGTTGTATAGTTGCTTTCCTCTAGCCTGTTCCATGAAAACATTGCAAAAGCAGTGACCTTGCCTTGCAATCAAACAACATGATTAATGCTAACGTTAGAGAAGAGATGCAATGTCATACATCTAAGCTTCAGCAGATCAAGTTAGTAAACATCTAGAATGATACCAAGGCTGGCAATAATTTAAAATCTGCATTGCTACATTCCCTTCCTCCTCACCCATCAGTTCCCTTGAACAACATTCTTTTTTTTTTTTCATGTTTGCCGTGTTATTTTTACTTATTACGATCTTGTTCCACAGAGGAGAACTTAGCCTTACATATTATAAGCCTGGATTGTCTATCCAAGCCGTTTTCTGGACTTAGCAAAGTTTAGGAATGGATACAGTGCTGAAAGGTCATAAGTGCAGACACTACACACTATAGCAAGACATTGGCTCTCTACCCTATAAGGTGAATGACCTTCTGAGTTAGTGATGCCTCACCAATTCCCATGTTCCCTAAGTCCAGAGCGCCTCTTTCTTCCAAAGGACTCTCTGAAAAAGAGAAGGATTTTCATACAGAAAAGCCAAACATATCAGAAATTGAATAAGGATGGATGGAATTATTTTGTAAGTCTACTGTTGCTGTAATAAATCAAAGACCTAACCTGAAAAAATCACTTGCTAAAGAAGAATAATGATTTCTTATGTTTCTTGCTTATATTAAGTTTTATACGTTGTTATTCTAAGTGTTTCACCTACATTAATTCATTTAACCCCATGATATAGATACTATTACCCTCACTTTACAAAATAAAAGAATAAGGCAGAGAAAATTTGAATAATTAGCTCTTGGTCACATAAAGGAAATGTTGGAGCCAGGACTTAAAGCCAAACTTTGAGGCTCCAGAGAGCTAAGAAAACCTTTGAATGAGATTACCAAATTGTTGGTTGGTAATCTTTGAGAAATTGTGGGGAAATGGGGATACAATAGAAGTTTAGAGATAAACAAATGTTTTTTATTTTTGTTCAGCATTTCTTTGAAGAAAATGTCTAAGTGGTGCTAAATATTTTAATAAATTGGTTTGGAAATATATAGAAGGTAGCTTTATCAAATTTTCCAGAAAGACCTTTTTAGGACTTTTAGTTGGCCATAAGCTATATATGAGCTGAAGTGGAATATAGCACACTACCACTTCCACCTCCCAGAATTTAGGGAAGTGTAAAGCATCATGGCATCTAGAAAAAGGGAACTGATCATTCTGTCTAGACTGGTCAGCCCTTTCTGTAGTATTTATTCTGTTTTGTCCTGAGTCCTACATTTCAAGGGAAATAGAGGAAAATTCGAATGTTTTGGTAGGTAAATTTTGAGATTATAAAATGATTTAATTCAATCATTAGAAGAAGGGGTAAAGAACTGTGGACATTCCACCTACAAAAGGGAAGACTTCAGGGAAGCCAAAAGAGGTATCTTCAATACTTGTAGTACTGACACATGTGGGATTGCAAAGTTAGGTAAAATTAGAGCCAATGATTAGAAGTTAATGGAGGCAGATATTGGCTTGATGTAAGATGGTCAAATCTTTCGGAGATGGAACAGGCTGCCTCGAAAGGTATTAAGTTTCCCTTCACCAGCATTTGTGTAAGTGTGCAACCAGAATGTGGACAGCCACTTGAAGGTGCACAGAAGACGGAGGCACAGAGCAGGTGGTTGGGCCACATGATAGTGGAGGCCTCTTCCAGCTCTGAGGTTCTCTTTCTGTAGGTTGGTGCAAAAGTAATTAGGGTTTTTGCCATTGAAAGTAATGGCAAAAGCCTCAATTACTTTTGCACCAACCTAAATATTATTCTATGAGTTGATTCAAGATAAGCCACTGAGCTTCTATGTGTAATCAAATATAGAAACAGTCTATCATGTCTTGGACTTCTAATGCTGCCAACACTAGTGTTACCCAAACTAGTAAAAACAAAAAGATGAACAGCAAAATAATGTCATTTCAAAAAAATCTGTAGGCATCTAATGAAATGACTGGTGTTTTATCCTTACCTTTCAGTGCTTTCTCCTGCTCAAGACAGCCACACGAACACGGATCTCCCCCCAGTGTCAGAGCAGATCATGCAGACTCTCAGTGAACTTGCCAAATCGTTCCAGGATATGGCTGACCGCTGCTTGCTGGTCTTACATCTGGAAGTGAGGTATGATACAGCCAAGCCCAGGACCTTGCAATTTGAATGCACTGTGGTTCATAAATCACTTACTTATTTCCAGGGAGTATCACCATAATTTCTGGCTCATATTATTGATGTTATCCCTTTTTACGCTGAAAGTTATTTTTAGCCATATTCAGTGACTGTTTGAGGGCATGGTGTATTTTGAGTGTGGTAATTCAGAGCTGGCATGGTCTATGAAATCAGGTCACCTGGATTGAAATGTCACTATCAGCTGGCTAGGCGATTGTTGGCCAGTTAATTAACTTTACAAACCACGGTTTCCTTATTTTAAAAATGGAAACAGTAGTTTCTAACTTATAGAGATTTTATAAATGGAATAATAATTAGCACAATGCCAGACACAAAGTAAGTGCTCAAAATATGGTAGCTTTGCTATTGTGGTGACTTTATTGTGATTCATATTTTTACTAAAGTGCTCTGCTAGTCAAGAAGGGAGTCACGCTGGAAAAAGTAGACGGAAAGAAGTAAAAGAATTATACTAATACATTTTAGTTAACCCAGTATATGTAAAACAGCATTTCAATAGGCAATCAACAGAACTGACTGAGGTATTCAGCATTTTCCTTTGCGCTAAGCTTTTGAAAGTGCCCATTTATACTTACAGCACATCACAATGTGGACTGGCCACATTTTAAGTGCCTGGTAGCTACATGTACCCAGTACTAGCATACTGGGCAGTTGCCAAGAGTGGCTGGGGCTGACTAGGAATGGGATTTTTTTTCTTTAAGATGAAATGGTCAAAAGAAATGTGACAAAGTAACAAGAATGATCCATCTGTGCAAAGACCCGGAGGAAGAGAGTTTCAGACAGAGGGAGGTACACTAACAAAGGTCTTGAGACAAAAATCAAGCTTGGTTTTTGTCTCAAGAGCAGAGAGGAGGCTGATATGCTTGTAGGCTGATGAACAAGCTGGGTGGGGAGGACTGAAAAAATAAGGCACAGGAGACAGGCTAGAGCCCAGTCCTGTGGAGTCATGAAGCCTGACACATTACAGGGTCTTACAGACCAAGTGAATCATTCAGATGTCACAGAAGCCATGGAAGGGTTTTAAGAAAGGGAGAGATACCAATTAATTAACATTTTTTAAAGGTCACTCTGGCTGTTGTATGGAAAAGGGATTGCAGGGAAAAATACGAATGGAAGCAGGGTGACCAGTTGAGACCAGCTCTGAGCATCAAGGTGACAGAGGTGGAGGTATGAGAAGTGTAGGATTTGGGACACATGCTGAAGGTAGAGCTAATGAAGTTTGTTGATAGATTGTATTGGAAACAGGGGCTGGTGCAATGAGAGGAAAGACTCAAGGAAAACCACTAGTTTGGGGCCAGAGCAACTGTGTGGATGCTGGTGCCATTAACTGAGGGGAGAAAGACTGAGAGAGGAGAAGGGTTGAGGAGAATGGCGGCAATCAAGCCTGCCATGTAGAGATGTTCAGTTTGAGATGCTTATTAAACAACTAGGTAGCAATGTCCAAACATCAGGACCAGAAAGTGCATGGTGTGGTAACACATTCTGTTCTGTATTGCTTTGGAACATGATTAACATTGATAGACTATTTTTCTTTTCATTTGAAGTCTTTACTAGATTTAGGGTTTAAAAATGTAAATAGGACTTTGTTTGATAGGTGACCCTTGGGAATATGTTTGGACTCCAGTTAGAACTTGAATTTATTTCCATGGTGACTCCTTGTGTGTGCTACTTGCTTTTTATCCTTCTTCATTACCATTGCCCAGTGAGTTACCTCCTTATTGCTTGTGAGAGCCTTGTGAGTGGAACAAGAAAAGTTAACATTGCAGATTTAGAATCTGCTACTCAGCTTTATTCCTGATGTTATTTCTCACATTAATCTGTCCAGAAATAAAGCTCTTTCTATATATTTTCTGATTTGTTTTACAATAATTTACAGATTTGGTATCTCTTTATTTACAAGTGGACAGTGAAATAAATCAGGTGTCTTCTGTGAATAAATATATGCAATAGATGGAAAGAAATGAAAAACACAAAGTAATATTCTAGTGCTGCTGTTACCTGAGTTACAAAGGAAAACAAGGGAATACCAAATTAGTTACTATCACAACTCCTGGTATTTATACTATTGATTGTGTGCTTATATGTGTTCTACATTCAGAATTGTCTACTTATGTGTAGTTAATTCCAAGTGGGATATTTGTAACACATTTGAGTAAGATCTTTTAAGTCCTTAACCCCTATTTCTGCCCTTTTGATACATCTTGGCAATACTCTTCTTAATACTGAACATGCTTTAGTCATTAATTTACAAGAAACTATACAGTGCTATAACACCGGTTGCTGTATCTTCTTCAACATTAGTCTAAAAACAGAAAAACGTCATTTTTAATAATGAATATTTTAAAAGACTGAATTTTAGAGCCCTGGATGTAGAATTATCTTTCCTTGAATTTAACTTAGAACACAAAACATGGGATTTTTTAAAATTAAATTTCCCCACTTCCTTGTATAACATGGTTCCAACACTCAGGTTGCTTTCTTGTAAGTGTGCTTCATTTCGTCTTTGTTCCTTTTAAAGTAAGGTACATACAACTAGCAGAATATGCCACATAAGGCTCGGATAGTGAATGTAGACACACTTACTGTGTCCCGGTCATGTTAACAATTTTTTTCAGTTTGCACAGTGATGATACAAAATGAGTAAGACAGATTTCATGCCACTCTAGTATAATAACGCTAGAATAGAGCTGTCTGCTAAGTGCTCTGGGGGCATGACTGTGGAAGAGACCATCAAACAGCTCTTCCAGGTGTGGCTTATTCATTGTGATGGCTGGCCCCGAAACCTAATATCGTGCTGTATATTAGGTGCTCAGTAAAAATGTGATTAAGAATTAGCTGGTTGGAAACCAAACCCAGATACAGTAAGTGCTACTTTACCAAACAAAACCTGTTGTCTTTAAAGAAACGAATTGGTTTGCAGTTTCTGTTTTTACACAGTAGTCCACTTGTAAGTCCACTGAATTATCTTAAGAGGTACAGAGGCTGTGTGGCCAACATCATTCTCATCAACTAATATTTGTTTTGTTCCCATCCTGCTGTAAAAAAGGAATTAGAGCTTAGGCCCAGTTGTCCAGCAGCTGGTGTGGTGAAAAAGTGGCTGATTAGCTCCTGTCTCTGGCACTTTTAGCCAAGAAATCACTGATAAGAGTACAGATAGAAGAAAAAAATTCATGGAAAAAAGTAATGAGATATGCCAGCAAAAAGTCCAGAACAACTTCAGATGCCAAAAACTGGTCTTGTTCCCCAAAATATCTTTATATCCATAGCACATATTTTTCTTTGACATTATTAAAGTTCAAACTAAAAAACTGTTTTCAAATCCCACGCAGTCTGTGTTGAATGATCCATCTAAGGAGTGTTTGACATTTTACCTGTGTCATTGTGGTTCACATTTTAACCACCAGGCAGCCCCTTTCCACAGTACAAAGCATAAAGCAAATGGTACCCCCAAGAGACGAAAGACATGGTGAGCCCATTAAAAACTGTTGAGGTTTGTTTTTTCTATTTGAACTTTAGAAGAAGAAAATTAAGTTGCCATTTGAGTCCAAGATGCCAAGAATGTCACCTTTATCAGCTGATTTTTCTCACCATCAGGAGGGCTCTAAGTAGGTTCAACAGCAACTGTCTATCACTGTTGGGATCCTAAGTGTGCACTCTCTGAAAATCATCCACCCCACTGTGTAATCAGCAGTGTTTGCAGAATACATTAATGTCAAAGTCATACTAAGGTCAGCAACAACAGGCCAGAATTTAAATTTAAAAAAATACTTGATTTGAATTTGGCATTAGCTGATGACTATTTTAATTTCTTTCTTTTTTTTTAATCTCTAATCACTTGGGAAGAAGATAATACCTTAAAGAAAGGTTGTATGTCTTCTCTCCCAATAGCTTCAGGATCTCATAAGCGCTCACCTCCAGTTCCTAAGAATTTCCTAACTAGTCGCTCTACTTCCAGTTGCTTCCATTCTCTGCTATTAATCCACTCGTATACTGTGCCAGAGTGATCTTGCCAAAGCTTAGGTCTGATTATATTATTCACCTCTTAAAATCCTCCTAAGGCTCCCTGTGGCTTCTAGGATAAAGGCCTGATTCCCTACATGGCCTTCAGAGCCTTGCTGACCTGGCCCGTGCCCATCTCCCCAAGCTCGTGGCATGCCTGTAATGTCGGATCTGTGTGCATCTGAAAAGAACTACTCACCAGTCCTCAGACCATCCTGCATTTATAGTCTCATGCTATTTTACATGGTCTTCTCATTGCCTGGAGTCATAATATCTGTCATTTACTTTAAAAATACTTTAGCGTAGATGCTTTAATTTTATTCAACTTCTTTGAAAATAAAGTTAAAAATAAAATTTAAACTTTATTTAAATTTCAACCACAGTAGCAATCATTGCCCTAGTCATGAATCCCATTCCAGAGTTGGTCAACTTTCATTCTGTCAGAAAGATCACGTTCCAGAGGAGGCTGCAACCAGTGCCATTACTGGTGTTCTTATCAAAATTATACATTTGTGCCAATTAGTACATGAATGTCAGAATGAGTTTTTATTGGTGAAATTAGTTATTAGTTAATTAGTAACTGTTAAGATAAGCATCTATCAGTAAAAATGAGCAGTAGTCAAGATATTTGGATTCTCTTGGATGAACTGCTTTTAAGAATATAACACATCCCATATAAAAGTTAGCTTAAAATGGATCATTCAACTAAATGTAAAATCTAAAACTCTAAAACTTCTAGAAGAAAACATAGGAAAAAATTTTTATCATTTTATTTAGGCAGAGATTTCTGAAATATGACACTGAAAGTACCATCCAAAAAGAAAAAAGTTATAAGTTGAACTTCATCAAAATTAAAACCATTTTTGATAGACATTGTCAAGATTAAAATACAAAAGACCAGGAGAAAATATTTGCAAAATGCGTATCTGATAAAGGACTTGTATCCAGAATATATAATGAACTCTCAAAACTTAAGAAAACAAAAAACCCAATTTTTAAAACAGGGCAAATGATTTGAACAGATATTTCATCAAAAATATATGTACAGAAAATAAGGACATGAGAATATGCTCAACATCATTCATCATTAGGAAAATGCAAATTAAAACCACAGTGAGATACTGCTCTACATCTATTGGGATGACCAAAAATTTTTCTTTAAAACTGACAACACCAAGTACTGATGAGGATGTGGAACAACTGGAACTTTTGTATACTGCCAGTAAGAAAGCAAAATGGCACAGCTCCTTTGGAAAGCAATTTGGTAGTTTCTTACAAAAGTAAACATACGCTTACCATATGATCCAGCAGTCTCACTTCTAGGTATTTATCCAAGAGAAATAAATGCAAAGTTATATGCACACAAAAATGTGTACATGAAGTAGCTTTATCCACAACCACCTAAATCTGGAAAGAATCTAAATATCAGTGGGTGAATAGATAATCTGTGGGACATCCAATTCAGTGGAAGGCTACCCAGCAAAAAAAAGTAATGAACAACATAGATGAATCTCAAATGCTTTGTGCTAAGTGAAAAAGCCAAACTCAAAAGGCTACATACTGTATGATTCCATTTATATGGCATCCTGGAAAAGACAACTGTAGAGGCAGAAAAATAGATCAGTGGTTGCCAAAGGTTTGGGGGTTGAGTAGGGATTGACTATAAAGGGACACAGAGAATTTTGGAGATGTTTGTGTTCTATAATTTGGTTCTGGTGGTGGTTATACAATTTTACATGTTTGTTAAAACTAATAGAACTGTACACTAGAAGGGGGGAGTTTTACTGTTTGTAAATTATTTCTCAATAAACCTGACTATAAGTAAAGAAAGATGACAGGCAAAGCATGGTCGCATCATTAGAGATAATAATGCCCTAGGCTTTTGCAGCCATTCATTTAGGAATATTTCTTATTACTTGATGCCAATTGTAAAGGTAACAGAACATGGACCCTGGATTATGTCATCATGTCTTACCTCCAGTGAACCTTCCATGCAAGGTCAGACAGAGCACCTAAAATGACAGTTAGGACTAGACTGGGCTTACAAAACAGCCTGTCTGAACTCTGCCTGCCAAGGGATACTGTTGGTTTGGGTTGTTTTGTTTTGTTTTGTTTCTAGGGTGGGGGATTCAAAATAAATACCTGCATGTAGGGCAGAATTTGGACTGAAACACACTCTGATTACAACTTTAAAAGGCTGTGTTGGTGCAGCCAATCCATACCCACCTCAGACTTCTTCAGCAGCTACTAATATCTGCCAAAAAGAACCTGAGAATTGTGTGTGACCAGACTGACACAGGCCATTTTCACACAGAAATGCCCTCCTTCCTCAAGCTGTCAGATAGATTCTGTGAGACTCAAACATCACCTTCCGTCAGGACCCTTTCCTGATACCCTGTGGCACGTTTCCATGGCACACTGTGTAGATGTGCTTGGAGTGAGGTGCTGTTCTCTCTTAGTCATTTTCTTAATCTGCCCCACTAGGCTGTGGGTCTTTAAGGATATAAACTGTCTTATATTTCCAGGGCCTAGCACAATTTCTTACAAATTCATAGAGGTTACGTACGTGATTTACTTAACTAATACGTTATCATTAATAAATATAAGACTAGTGATGACAGCCAATACTTACTATGCACGCCATTTGTGCCAGACACTGCTATACATAACACTTAATATGTAGTAGTAGTGTAATCACAGCACCCTATGAGGCAGCTGTTGTTTTTACCCCCATTTAATGGATGAGGAAACCGAGGGATAGAGAAATAAAGTAACTTGCCTAAAGTTATATAGCTGGTGACTGAAGCCAATGTAGTCTCCTTACACTTTTAAGATCTGTAAACTCTGCCTCTCATCTTCATTGCAACAGTATCTGTTGAAAATTACAATGCTTTTCACACTATGCCTACAACCCTGGCATTGAAAAGAATTTTAGAACTCCTTACCAACACTGTATGGATTAAACAAGCAATGATCATAGCAGCCAGCTTGCCCCAGATCACTCAGTTGTTCTATAGAATAACTAAGATGGCTTTCTGGTTAAAAGAGGGGAGGGTGTTTACATTAAAACATACAAGGCCACAGCTGCTTCATATTAAGTGTAGAGCAAAATGTCTGGCACAAATAGAGTACAGAGTTAAGCGTTGGCTATCATCGCTAGTCTTACATTTATTAATGATAATTTAGTAGTTATTTTGGTGCTGTGTCCCAAGATCACTGCCCTCCCTGGAAAGATTTATTAGTAACTGCTCTCCCCATCTCTCTCTTTTTCAGGGTTCACTGTTTCCACTATCTCATCCCTCTTGCAAAGGAGGGGAACTATGCCATTGTGGCTAATGTGGAAAGTATGGATTATGACCCCCTGGTGGTCAAGCTCAACAAAGATATCAGCGCCATTGAAGAGGCCATGAGTGCCAGCCTTCAGCAGCACAAGTTCCAGTATATCTTTGAAGGTCAGGCCCTGCTTCTGTCTCCGGGAGTTGGGGAGGAAGAAAGGACAAAGGTTTTCCTGGTTTTCTGTATTACTGAAGTTGAAGACTTGTAGAAAAGAGTTGTTTGTTTGCTTGCTTGTTTGAACTAAATCTGCAATACCTAGCCTCTTTGTGTGTGACTAGGTAGACAACAATATGGCCGCCATCTGCTCCTGGTTGATAAGGAGATTTAATCCAAGATAAGGCAGATGGCTGCCTCCCTGACATGCCACTCATGAGATTTGAGAGAATGTGCAGACTGGGCCACAAATTAACTCAAGAGGAGCTTATGAAAGAAAAAAAAAAGCACACATACACAATGAGGAGAGAATCCTGAAAGATCACTCATTGGCTAAAATTATCACTGGAACGGGAAGTTTTCTCACAGAATGTTATAATCATCTGGAAAGAACAGAAGCCTCTGATTAGCAGCAATTTTTAGGAAGGATATGTCCATAAATGCCTCCAAGGGGGCAGGCAAGGAAGGGTGTGAGAGACAGGAAGTACCATCTAAAGACATTATGCTTCACAATTTTGAAAAAATGTGATGGCACCCAAATAATTTTTCATGATGAATTTCACCCGGAGGACCCCTGTTAGGATTTCACATTATGTTCCCTTGGTCCATGTTTTGGTTTGTTTATGTGAAAACTCGTATCTGTGTTCTCTCACAGAATTAAACTAGTATTTTTTAAAACAACTAAGAAGGTACATTGTCCAAAGGATTGTGGCAAACTGACAATACATGGCCAATGTTTGCTTTATGAAAGTTATATTCCTGCAAATTTGGACCCCCCCAAAATCCAGTCCTTAAATATATATGGAGTTATAAAGAGATGTGTTCTCTTGGGGTATATCTCTCAAAGACTTGAGCCAAAAAGTGTAAGTGATTAAAGGGTTAGCTGTCAGTTAACCCCATGGCACTATGAGTTTGGCGGCACCTGGAATATTCTGCAGCTTTGAGCTGCAGTGCCTACCTGAGAATTCACTTTTCTGTTATTACACTGAGTTTCCTCTTTGCTCTTGACTGTGGCTCTTCCCAGCCCCTGCATATCAACATTTGTTTTATTCCTATGACAAAATGCATTTAATGTATTTATTATAATGTATTATTATTTCTTATTCTCTACAAACAGCATACCCCTTCATTACCCAGACTTGCAGACCATGTTATATTGTGGCAGGGAAAAAAAAAAAAAAACTGTACCTAAAGTTATGGACGTGAGAGAATGACACCAAAACTTGGCCTACAGAGATTTTTCATATAAATAAGTTGTCTAGCTTTAAATGTAGAATCTGCAGTTGTGTTTTTCTTTGAATAAAAACTTTTCTTCACATTCAAATAGTAGCACGTAGAAGTTTGTGGTCTTGAAGCAATGTTGTGTGAGTGTAGCTGAAGTAAGACCTGAATGCATCTCCTCCCTCATTTCTACTTTCACTTTAATCAAGGGAAAACTCATTTTGAAGACATGGGGAGCCATGGACCTAAAGATAAGCCCTGCTCTCTGATCTAAACCTCAGAGTCTCGGGGAAGGGACTAGACTTCAGAACAGGAAAACAACCAATAGCAAATGGCTTGCGACTAGTCAGACCAGCTTTACGGTTCCGAGGAAAATGTCCTGCTAGCATCCAAGAATAAGAAAGAAGGAAGAAACGTTTACTGAATTCCATTTAGAATTAAAATCCAGCTTTTAAAAATAGTAACCCATATGTGCCTCACGTTGTTCTGAACCAGCGTTTCTCAACTTAATTACATGGGGTATCCTGAGGAGGACTTGTTAGTTTGCTGATGTCCTGAGCTGTCCTTTGCTACATTTCACAGATCACAAAACAGCCCTCCAGATGTAAGAACAAACCACTTAGGGGGCCTCAAAATGTCCAAAGATGTCTCACGGGAAGTCAACAGTTAATGTATTATCTGCTTTGCCTTCACCCTTTGTTTCTAATTACATTCTCTCCAATTACTACTTTAGAAATACACCCATTGCCATTTTTAAGTTGTATTAGCATTATTGCCAATAACCCAGTTTTCTTATTGATTTATTTTTTACTTGACAGTGTTGAAATATATTAACATTATTGCCAAGGCCCAGTTTCCTGTTGATTTTATTTATGTAGCTTCCCAGTCAACTTTTGAGCCAAAAGTGTCCTCCTCTACTTTTCAGGAGGAAGGAGAGGCCAAACAGGTCATTTTAGATGCCTGTGTTCTTCTCTGCTTCCCAATCGTCTGTAAAGAAAAGCAGGATTTCCCGTGCACTTCAACGGTTTGTGATAACCTGACCTCTTCTCTAAGGCCTTGGCATGGTGGCAGTAGGTGTACATGGCAATGCTGGACATGTGACTGTTACCAGGCTTGGCCGCCAACATGAAGTCCACCCGTTTGTAACTACTAGGGCGATGTAGAAATACCCTAAAATTATTGTCAGATCAGCAGATGCAACCATCAGAGGTAGATTTTCTTTGGTCATTTAAATGTAGGATTAGAAGACAGCAATTCTGTGTGCAGGTTTCTGTAGGAATGCCTCTAATCTGTCTTCCATTTTCTTTGCCCCACACTGTGCTGACCCCTCAGGCCTGGGCCACCTGATCTCCTGCATCCTCATTAATGGTGCCCAGTACTTCAGGCGCATCAGTGAGTCTGGCATCAAGAAAATGTGTAGGAACATTTTTGTTCTTCAGCAGAATTTGACCAACATCACCATGTCACGGGAGGCAGACCTGGACTTCGCAAGGTAGGAGGGAAAACTGGGCTTAGTTTCTCGTGCCAAAGCCAAGACCTCATTGCCTGCAAAGTCATTTTTAAAAATGGACTCTTGATGCAGAAAAAGCTTAGTTTAAAAAAAGAAAGAAAGAAGCACAGGTAGGTGTTTTTAGGTCCTATAGAGAAGGTAATTTCACAGAATTCTGTTGAATTTTGTTACTTTGGCAGGTAGTTTTTCCTGATGTCTAACTGAAGTTGTTCTTATTACAATGCTTGAATAACGTTTTTTTCTGCGTATAAAAGTATACATGCTTAAAAATACATAAGATAAAATACAAAGAAGAATATAAACCTTTGATCCAGAGGCTAAGATATTTGGTATATTTTCTCCTGACTTTCTTGCATGTGCTGTGTTGTTTATGTGACTTTTCACACATACTCGAGCATATGATTTCCCTTTTTCCAAAATTGGAACTACGTTAATGCAATTTTATATTAATTTAATTTTGTTTTCCCATATCTATGACGTTGTTTGAAAACATAATTTTTCCACATTCACTAATACTCCTTGAAAACATTACTTTTAATGATGCCTGAACAAATATTTCATGGCATAAATGAGCCATATTTATTTTTAATCACTTGCAAATTTTTGAATATTTGAATTTTTCCCTTTTTTTCTCTTATTGTAAATAACATGTATCTACTGTATTTTTACAGAAACCTACTTCTCATTTCTTCCATCTTGTTCCGATTGAAACCCATCTCTTCTTGTTCTCACTGGGAGGAAAGTGAGAACTCATCACTATCCTTTCTCTAAGTTTTCTGATCTTAATTTTTTTTTAAGTGACAGGCTACTGCTCTGTTACCTAGACTGGAGTGCAGTGGTGTGAACATGGCTCACTGTAGCCTTGAATTCCTAGGCTCAAGGGATCCTCTGAGGAGCTGGGACTAAAGGCGCACACCACCACGCCTGGCTAATTTTTATATTTTTTTTTTTATAGAGACAGGGTCTCACTATGTTGCCTAGGCTGGTCTTGAACTCCTGGCCTCAAGCAATCCTCCTGCCCCAGCCTCCCAAAGCACTGGAATTACAGGCATAAGTCACTGCATCTGGCCTTGATCTCAATTTTTAATGTTTTTGTATAACACACTTTTTCAAAATTTGAGAGTTAGTTTTCTTCTCTCTTCATTTGTTTTAACACCATCTAAACCTTAATTAGAATATCAAACCTTTGGTGCTTTAATAAAAGATTAAGCAATTTGAAGATGAGAAATATGTTATTTTCATGCTGTATTGCCGTTTATACCTGAGTGGATTATTCTGTAAACTCCCTTATTTTCCAGAAGCCTTCATGGCTAGGAAGTCACTTGTTTTTAATAATCCCCAATGTTTCTGCCTGACATTTAGTATTTCTGTGTCTTTTCACTTAATTTTTTTTTTTTTTTTTTTTTTTGAGATGGAGTCTCGCTCTGTCGCCCAGGCTGGTGTGCAGTGGTGTGACCTCGGCTCACTGCAAGCTCTGCCTCCCGGGTTCACGCCATTCTCCTGCCTCAGCCTCCTGAGTAGCTGGGACTACAGGCTACTTTTTTTTGTATTTTTAGTAGAGACGGGGTTGGCCGGGTGCAGTGGCTCACACCTGTAATCCCATCACTTTGGGAGGTCGAGGCGGGTAGATCACGAGGTCAGGAGATTGAGACCATCCTGGCTAACAGGGTGAAATCACTTGATTTTTTTGATCCCTTGAGAAGTGCAGGAAAATTTGAAACAATTCTTGAGGCATTTACGGAGGTGATGAAATATTATATTACTTTAACAATTATAAAGACAAATATGCTGTGATCTTTGTTTTGGTTATGAACCATATATGTTCATTTTTAACCTTTCTTCCTCAATCTGTTACTACATTTGTTCCATTGCTACCCTGTTCCTCTGCCTTTCTGTCCTTCTCCTTCCCTTTCTTTTTCTATTTGTGGGAAAGTGAGAGAGACAGAGAGAGAGAGAGAGAGAGAGTGTGTGTGTTTTCATTAAATTCCCTGTTCTAGGCTAAATTTGGTGGAAAGCCTTCCTTGCTCAGATTAGGGAAACCAGGTGTGACAGAATGCTGCATTTATTTGGTCGCTCTTATGGGGAATGATCTCATTATTGAATTAGTCTAGTCATAATAACATTGACAAGGGGAAGTTAAGAACATAGAGGCCTGAGGGATACAGAAACCCATTACTAATGCTCTAAGGAATACAATTCCTAAATTCAATCATCCTATTTTAAATGATTTTTTTTTTTATTTAGCTGAAATAAGTAAATTAACACAGTTTTTGGCAGACAGTATGGGGCCTGAAAAACCTGGCATCTGAATAATGCAATGCTGACTGGGCAGGATTGAAGTTGGCATCAGCAGGTCATGTGCCGATGAAGCATTTCTTCAGGAACTAACTGAGTCCCAACCACGCCACGCCTTTTACAGTTGGATTGGTGAATTATGTCCCAGGAAGTAGGTACAAGTGGCATGTGGACCACTTGGGAGATGTACTGCTACTATTATTCTTTATTCTGACATGGATTTTTGACAGGAAATAGGCTAGCATAAACACACAGTACTGGCTGAATCTGTTCTTCTGTTCCTGCTTCAGAAGACATCTCCTTTCTAAGACTATAAGCTCCAAGAGGCTGAGACTTTTTTCTCAGTGCCTGTACCAAAGTAAGTGTTCATTGTATGTGCTGAATGAATGAACAGATATCAAATCAAGGCTAATTTTGGTGTGGATGAAGGCCTTGGATATTGACAGGTTAGTTTATGTTTAATTCCCTGAAGGTTTAAACTAGCCGGCATGGGTCAGTTTTCTTATAAGCTTGTAAGAAAAAACATATTTTCCTTGCAGTTCATTCTTTGTAAAACAAAAAGCATTACAAAAAGAAATAGTGTAGCCCTACTATTCAGAGTCTCTTTCCCTCTCATTTTTTCTTGCTTTCATACAGACATACTTTATAGCCTTCTTTTTGCCCCCCTTCTTGTTTTTGATAGGGACAGGTTTTGTGAAAGGGGCTCCATCAATTCTACCATATTTGAAGCTATGTAAAATAAATAAAACAGCAATACCAAAATAGCCAGAAATAATAGACTGCAGCAGTATACCTCAGCATTCCTTAAGCAGTGTCTAATCAAGCATGGACAGCATCTGTACTTCCAGCAAATCTCTATAGGAATGTTATCTGCTCACACAGTAATTAATCACTAGTTGCCATGTGTCAGAAAACTTATTTAACAAGAAGTTGCAAAGTGCTTGTAGTTTTCTTACCTTCTCAGCCTTCCTGGCCAGTGGAAAATATCACACCTTTCTATAATAAAGAAATGAGGGATCTGGAGCAATTCCATTGATGTTGATTCTTCTACTCATAGTATTTTTTCTTGTCTCTCTCTTCATGTACACCTTTCCTCTAACTGATCTCTAATAGAAGGGTAGATCTTGGGTGAGCAAAGGAACCAGACAACCTGTAACATTACTAGAAGTACAGGGAGCCTCTGTCCTCTATGGTAATGATCATTTAAGCTGTTTTACAGTTTTGACCCCACTGTTAATTTTCAGAGTCAAAAAGATGCTTTATCCAGGAAAATCAGTGCAGATGAGTGAGAAGGTGGAAGGGTTTATGAGTGTGCTTTTTTAGTTCCTTTCATCACAGAGCATCTTAACTTGAGCTGTCATGCACCCTTCCACATGTGAGTCACAGAAGCCTCCTAGGAGTCCAGATGGTGGGAGCATAACAAGAGAGGTCCAAATGATTGGTGGTTGGAGTCCCCAGGGTGTATCTAACAACGCTTCTAGCTTGAGTGACGCCATCGTTCAAAAAGAATATCCCAGAGTTTTCTTCCCAGTTCTCCCCTCTTTACCCCATTTTGTCTCTTTCTCTACCTCTTCGACTGTCTCTTTTTTCTCCTTTATTTCTCCAATAACTCTACTTCCTGCTGTCCTCCTTCAAGGTTTCATTGCTCCTCAGTTTTTCCCCTGATTTTGGTTTTCTTTGGACTGGTATCTTTCATTCTTAAACCTGTGCAAGATAAGGCAACAAAAGCTGCAGTTCAGGAAGTAGTAGGGCAAAAAATTGTAACACCCAAGACAGATTCCTCGCCCTGTTATTCCTTCATTTCTTCATTCCTTCATCAAATATTTATTCAGTGTATGTTCTCTGTAGGTCCCGGCCTCATGAAACTTGCATTACTGTGGGGCAAGATGCAAAGTAATAAATAAGTAAAATACATATAAAGTATTTCAGATGATAATATATGCTGTAGTTTAAAAAAAAAAAAAAGAGTAGGCATGGGGAGGGGACCAGAGGATGCCAGAGTATAATGGAGGTAATCTGAAATTTTAGAGTGTTCATGGAAGTCCTTAATGAGATGGTAACATTTGAGGAAAAACCTAAAGGAAGAGTAGGAGCAAGCCATGCAGCTATCTAGGGAAAGAGCATACCAGGAAAGAACATGTAAGGGTGAAGAGCCAGAGGGAGGCGGACACTTAACATCTGAAGAACAAAGCAGAAAGGCCAGCATGGATGAAGTGAGTGAGCAGGGGAAGAGTAAGAGATGAAGTCTGAGGTTTGATCTAAGGAGCTGAGATCTGGAAAGTCACTGTAATGACACTGAGTTTTACTTTGCATGAGGTTGGAAGCTATTAGAAGGTTTGGCGCAGAAGGATGCTACATAATGTGAATCAGTCTGGCCGCGATGTTGAAACTGACATCGCAGTTGTTAGTTGTGGAGGGGTATTGTAGGCAAAGGCAGAAGCAGGAGACTCTGTTAGAAAACTGTGGCAATAATCTTCTAGGTGAAAGGTAGTGGTGATTCAAAGCAAGATGGTGGCACTGGAGAGGATGAGATATGGTCAGATTAGGATATATTTTAAAAGTTAAGCTAACAGGATTTGCTGAGGAATCAGAAATGAACCAGAGACTCCAAAGGTTTTGATCTGAACAATTCAAAGCATGAAGTTTTTATTTACTGTAATGAAAGTGAACCAGACCATAGGAGAGGC